ATCGATTTCATTTAATAGTTGACTTCATGAGTAAATTAAATTTAGACCACCATTGAAAACCTGGAAGCACTGAACGGCCGTTTGTCCTATTGTGTGATTCCTCAGCAGTGTGCATCCACGATCCCAGCTGCCGGATTCAAACCCAGGACATTTAGTCTCTCGAGCACCAGCATTCAACAGTGTTAATGTTTAACTTCAACCAGTGTTCTAGAGGTTAAGCGTTCGCGCGTGAGACCGGTAGGTCCTGAATTTGAATCTCACGAGGTGAGATCGTGGATGCGCATTTCTGAGGAGTTCCGTACTAGGACGAAACAGCCGTCTAATACTTCCACGTTTTCCATGATGATCCAGCTTCAATTGATTCGTGAATTCAACTATTCAAGTTACTATAATATCCACTAGAAACCCTTCTCTGATTATGATTGACCAATGTACAATTGGTTAGACTAATTCATGATAAAGTACTAACTTACTTACGCCTATTACTACCAATCGAGCATAGGCCATCAAACAGCATTCTCCAACCCACTCTGTCCTCCGCCTTCCTTTACAGTTCTATCCAATTTTTGTTCATTCCTCTCATATCTATCTGTCTACATTTCTCGGCGTAATGTGTTCTTTGATCTTCCACTTCTCCTCCTTTCACCTTGAGGATTCCATGTGAGGGCTTGTCTCGTGACACAGTTGGGTGCTTTCCTCAATATGTGTCCTATCCACTTCCAGCACTTCTTCCTGATTTCTTCCTCCGCTGGGATCTCGTTTGTTCTCTCCCACAGTAGGTTGTTGCTGATAGTGTCTTACCAACTCATCCGAAGTATTTTGTGTAGACAACTGTTAATAAACACCTGTATTTTCTGTGTGATGGCTTTCGTAGTTCTCCAGGTTTCTGCCCCATACAATAGAACCGTCTTGACATTTGCATTGAAAATTCTGACCTTGGTGTTATTTGATAGTTGTTTTGAGTTCCAGATGTTCTTCAGTTGTAAATGTGGTGTTCTTGCTTTGCCGATCCGCGCTTTCACATCTGCATCATATCCACCGTGTTCATCAATGATACTGACCAGATATGTCAAGGTTTTGGCATCTTCCAAATCTTCTCCGTTAAGTGTGGTTCGATTGTTGCATGTTGTGTTGTATCGGAGAGTCTTGCTTTTACCTTAGTGTATGTTGAGATCATGATAAAGTATCTATGGTTAATATACAAAGAAGAAACGAAAAAAAGAAGAATTAAGCTGTATATATAAAACAAACACAAATGAACAATATAAATTTGTGGTGTAAAAACTACTTGTTTTACACTAAATGTCTCAAATCATATGATTCCATGTTGGTTTAATCAATATAATTTGGATTCAATAATGAATGGAATTATTCATTAAAAGCAAATAAAGTTGTACAGTTAAAACTTGAAAAAAGAAAGAAAGAAAAAAAACAATAAACAATAAATAAATACAGTTTAATAGTTGGATTCGGGAGTCAATTGAAGCTAGAGCATTATGGAAAACCTAGTAGCAATGGATGGCTGTTTTTTCTTAGTATGAGATTCCTCAGCAGTGCGCATCCATGATCATGCACTCGGGATGGGAAACCAGGATCTATCGGTCTCACACGTGAACACTTAGTCTTTAGACCATTAACACTGTTGGATGCCGATGCGCGCGAGATCAAAGGTCCTGGGTTCGAATCCCGGATCGTGGATGCGCACTGTTGAAGAGTCGCATACTAGGATAAAACGGCCGCTCAGTGGTTCCATGTGTTTCCATGGTGGTATAGCTCTAATTAACTCATGGAATCAACTATTAAATTACTACAATCTCCACAAAACCCCTTTCTGATAATAAATACATTACTTTTTTGTTATTATTGAAGCAAATTGAAAGAAAGCACATGGTAACACATTTGAAACTTGACTATTGTGACTCAATTCAAGTACATCGTTAAATTAGTCTTGTCATTAAATGTAAATATATTGTTTTATGGTGTTTATTGATTGAGTTAAGAGTTCATGTTTTCTTTTCTGTCTACCTTTTTTTGGATATTCGTATTAAACAGAATGATCGTAGTAAAATGACATCTAAGTTAATCTATCAGTGATTGAAAGTAAGATAGCGAAATTAAACCCAACTACTATGGTTATTAAATCAGTGTTCATTGACTAGCTTAAGTGTTTCATTGAATATAGTTATTAGCTGCTTGCTTTCCACTGAATTCTATCTCAACATTCCAAATGTGATAAAATATATGTCCCAACAGCATAGCCCTATATGAACTATTTATTGAAGACTATGCTGTAAACATCATCGGCAGTAGTAGCCTAATCTTCTTTATTTGAATTCTATACTTGAATCCTTAAAACGATTATTAAGTGTCATGAGATTACAAATTGATTTTACTTATTCTTGTTACAATAAACAAAAGCTTCAGTTTAGGTTTTTATCAAAATTAAACCACTGATTAATGTATTTTAACCGGTTGGCGATGAACACCGTGTTGTCATATCATTTAAGTATATCATTGTCAGTAATTATGACAACGTTTAGTCACTTGGCTTTAAGTACTTCAGAATACTTTCTATTATAGAATTAATTGAAGATATGAATTCTGCTGGTGGGCGGTTTATCCTACTCCACGAGGGGTAACAGGCATAAGTATGAGTTCTGCTATGTTGTGATTTTTCTCCCATCACAACTGACTGCGCTACATTTGACACGTCAATATTATGATTGAGTGGTAATTTTGTTGTAGAAAAGTTTACATTATTCATATAAGCCAGCAAAAATGTCAAAGAATGAAACATGCCCTCTATCATAGATTACGATGGTGTAAATAATAATTCTTGCTTTATTTTGGTTGGTTGTCAAGTGCTAGATCAAAAGTGGAGTTTACTCTCACCCTTTTAACCCAGTTAGTTCTACACGGGACCCATATTTCTCGTGGGTCTCCTTACATCTTAAAATGTCTAGAATATAAAGCCATACATTAGTGCTCTGATTATTCATACACTTCGTACTTTAGCATTAGGTAACTTTGACTGATTGATTATCTCCATGATATTCTTAATGTTTTCAATGATAAAATATTTTATCGAATTCATAAACTGATTTAACTTAGACCACCATTGAAAACCTGGAAGCACTGAACGGTCGTTTCGTCCCTATATGGATCTCCTAAGCAATGTGTATGCATAACTCCAATCGCAAGAGTCGAATCCAGGACCTTCGGTTTCGTGTGCTAACCCTTAACTTCTAAGCCACTGAGCAGACATATGACAGAGTTAATATCTAACTTCAATCAATTTACTGATAAAATATTTATTTTTGATCATCCTATCTCTATTTCATTCTTATCACTGCAGGTACTACACACCTGTCACTATAGTAATAAAGTATATTTATCATGAAAATGATTACTTATACAGTTCACATTATTAACGCACACAAAACTGCTTTGATTGATTGTTTCATTAAAGCATTGTAATAACGAACAAGTCGATTACATGCATTATAGGACATTTGTACGACCGATCTATCACCCAACCTACTTGGTATAATTCTATGGTAGTTTAATGATAATTTCTTACCGATGTAACTAATAATGGACGTGAGTTCTCAATGAATAAACACGAAAAAGTAGGATAACTGGTCATCAAAATGTGAATCATTTTACGAAACGAATTGATATGTTCATTTACAGAATATATAATACAAACATGATTAAAATACATTTAATTAGAATGCGACATTTATATTCAACAATGAGTCAATGTGGTTAACGTTCAACTACCATGGTAACAGAAAGATCATCGAGTGTAGTCTAACCGATAAAATGAGATATACTCCATAACACCCATACTAATTTATGGGGTCATTACGTTGTCAGTCATATATTCACCAATGGTTAAGCATGTAGATCAATACAGACTTAAAAAACATTTGCGGACTGGATCAAATTACAAAATACCTCTCGATAGTAAAATGGAAACCTATCAATTGTATGAAGTAGCCAGGATTACGTCTAAACAGCAATACAAGATTCTTAGTTTACAAACTTGAATTGGACTAGTTAAGTCACTTTAGGATAATCACAATCAAAAGAACAACTTATGACAAGTACCAATTACTAGATTATCACTGTTGTTGGCAAATATAATATACAATATACAAAAGGTTAAAATAAGAAAAAGAAACCACACCGGAAAACATACAATCAAATGAGAACGTATCAGTGAAAAAAATATATATATTTCTGGGGAAAATACATATATTTATATATTCTTTTACAAGAATTTTCCCCCATGAAAGAACATACAAAAATATAGTTTGTGGATAATATCGAGCATGCGTGAAGTATTTATAATATCGGCACAGAAAAATGTGCACACACATACACACAACTTATTACAAAGTTCACAGGGAAAGAAGGTCTCGAGCACAGAAGTGAAGAAAAGAGAAGTCTAGTTTTGATATATATTTTCCACAACTTCCTTTCTCTTCTCCCCCCTCATCTCTCTCTGTTCTTGTAATACTAACAAATGAGAAATACATAATGTGCATTTTTCAAAATGTAATTAATAAACTATTTTCTTTTACATTTTTTACAAAAAAAAGAAACATTAGAAGAAGAAATAAACCAATTTTCTTTCTATACAACAGGAAGTAATTAGTGTGTACAACATGTCAATTAGGGTAGAAGATACACACCTAAACAAACACATAATCCTCCGGAAAAAAACCGTTGTTTCCTCCTCCTCCTCATGTTTAGTTTGAAGAAAATAAAATAAAACAAAGCTGGTAACTGGTTAACATCATCACCAACCATCTCATTAAAACAAACGTGATCATAAAAACCCATAGACCGTAATAAGTTCAATCTATCATAAAATCATACCATATTCAAAATGAATTTGTGCACCTATTCACCTGAACAATTGAGATGAATTTTTTTTTCAATTACCAACAAACTGACAAACAAACAAGTAAATGACTGTCTATACAATCAATTTATCTAGAATCCGATACAGTAGCAATGGAAGTTGCCGTGACACATGATTGTATTTGATCCTCTACAGGTACTGAATCGAATTCTACTACTTCTTCTACATCTCCTTGTTCTTCTCGATTATTATAACTGCCATTTCTATCCAATAGAACAGGTTCATCAGATGGTAATGGTGTAACATCACCACCGTCATCAGTAGGTCCTAAATTGGCTGTCTGATCCAAATCATCCCAACATAACAATGGTAGATTGGTTTGACCAGGATATAACCATGGTTTATAATCAGGATTATTTGATTTTTTCCAGGTATTATATTTAGTGCATGCTTTGTACAATATTTGAATTGCTCGAGGAGCCATCAACTGTGTAGCCTTGTTAATTACCCATATTGGTAGTTTACCTAGAAAACAAAAACCGATATAAGCATGCTTATGAAAGGGGTTAGGGTAGACAACACATTGAAAATACAATATAGACGAATAATTTGTAGAGATGCTAATGTGTCAAACAAAGCCTGAAGTTAATCGCATTATGGAGCACATGTAGGACTGGATTAAGGCATCTAAAAATTAATACATTAATTTTGATAGGAATTTAATCTGTATAATGGGAACTGTAAGTAAGACCTATTAACAACTTCAGGAAATTCAATGATTCTTCGATATGATTAACTAAATAAGGATAATACTCAATTAAGACTTTGTATATAAAGTAAACATCAGTCATTCAATCGAACGCAAAGTAGAACCTGGTACTTATGTACATCGATTCCAATTGCCACACTCCATTAGTACAGAGAGATGAAATTGCTAGGCCGAATTCCAGAATATTAGGGGAAGTAACAATATTAGTAGTAATATAGGAGGTTAAGCATCGAAGATACGGTTCAAGAGAATATAAATTAGTGAATTAAAAAGGTTATGAGGAATTCAGAATCTTAAAACCTGAGGGAGGAAAAGGATGGATACCCCTGCGTCATTGCAAAAGGTTTTGAGTCATGTCATTCAAAGTTTTAAACCATTCATTACGGTAATCACACAGACCCCAATGCATACACCTGTTAACATGGGTCATTACAACAGTCAGTGACTTCATGGACTGGTGCTATGCCTCGGTTTGGCCGCTCTACTTTTCTCCCGAGTTACCCCTACACCAGACATCGCCTATCGAGGTAGATGGTGGTTGGGAAACATAACACATATCCAAACCAACTCAGTTGATGATGAGGATTCACTACCCCATCAATTGACTTGCTATCTTTACCTAGTGCCCTATTGCTGACCCATTAATTGCTTACTCGGCGGTAAGTTCTTTCAATCCGTGCCGAGATTTCGTCAGACACTAGACCACCAGAACTGATGAAATTCTTAATATAGTTTGTAGCGGTCGGTACGCTCAAGTACTTCATTCCCTATCATTAGGATAAATATGGTTGATAATAAGCAATATGACTGCTGTCGTTGCTCATAGCGTTTGGACACGTGGAACATGTACCCCCAATCGCTACAGTCAAACAAAGTTTCGAGCCTGATCATCAGGTGACTCAGGTCCGGATAAACCAACTTTATAGTCTTATAAGACAAGATCAAACACATAGGGGATGCATTCTAACTCAACAACTAGTTCGATTTCAAACATGATAAATTTAAATAGACTACTTATCTAATATTATGTTTTATAATTCGATTCCGTAGGACTTTCATCAAACGCTGATCTGTACAACTTAAAACTAATGCAATATGAGCACCAGAGAAGAAGCTCTCAAACTTGAGAACTACGGCCCGAAATTTAAAAGCGCTTTAATTACAAAGTTAATGATTTTAGTACAATGCCATGATATTAGGCGATACGAATCGACACTTAATAACTCTCCTCGTCTCAACGTTTTCCTCCTCATTTCACTTTACTTGTCCTGAGTGTTAAGATTACATCGTAAATCTGCTTGAACAATTTTACGATACTAAGCGCCTAGTGGCTTGATATATTCTTTTAAACAAAAATAATGAAGCACATGGATCTAAACAAAATTTGATGAATACCTCCACAAGCAAATAGCAGAGAGAAAAAAAATAATTAAACAAGTCATTTTTTGCTGGAATAAGCCTAGAAATAACAATCAAACTCATAGTGTAATTATGCCAACAAATTTCAGTATACCGAATCCTCTGAAAAGATCTTTAGTTCAATTTAATCAATAACTCATTCAAGTTATCAACTTCAAAATATCAAAACGGAATGGGTATCAGTATTAAAGGTGAGAAGAAACCGATTGTTGAATAAACTTTCAATTACAAGATAATAGTCATAACATATTTAAGTTTCTTATTAGAGTGGGTTGTTATGGCCCCCAAATGCCCTGGTACGGCCGAGAGTGAGGAATCCGTTCTCATTCTCGAAATGCTCTCACATGGGCATGTGTATATAGCCTCTGCCAGGAAAAACCTACTCACTGACTTCTCGTGGCGGGGGTGTCGTTTACGAAATTGAGAGGACGAAAAGCGGATGTCCGGCGCTTTAACCGGGTTGGTGGACACGGAGGGTCTACCTAGGGGAGTTGGAAAACCAGTCGTGCACATGGGCTCCAGTACCCTTAGGGAACAAATAGCGTATGAACCGACCGTTGGTAACCGGCTACCACGAGACTGCATCTCCTTATGTTGCTCCACTGACTTGTGGATCAAAATTTTAGGTCGAAAGCTCTGGGTGTGGGCTCCTAAGAAAACCACCTGCTTCAGTTTGAGCACCCAGGCAGTATCACAGCTCTCACACAAATGAAATGAGATTTGTGTGGCGCATATGTATTCGGTGCCCCTTTGTACCAATATTTATGTGTTCAAATAAATAAATGAATAAATGTGGGTTGTTATGATTTATTTTCTGAGTGTTTCAATAAACATCCATGTACAACAGATTATACTTTATTTTGGAAGACCATGAATAAATGCAGAAAACACTTTTAAGATGTTAGTAATTCAAGAATAATTAGAACAATTATATATGTCATGAAAAGTAATAATTATAAATCCATGAAATATATTTTTGTCACTTTCATTATGAAATTAATGACACGTGCAGTAACACAGAGATCAGTCTTTCGGAAGAGCAGTTTTATTATTTTGTCTACAATAATGAACCATAACGAAACCCAAGAAACAAATCGATAATATCGTGAAAATAAAAGGGTAGTACAATTAGTAAAACTCTGTATATAGCTCTTCTAGTGTTACTGCCGGTCACAAGATCGGGTAAAGGAGAAGGGTTGGGCATGGGGTCGGCAAGCCCATCCCGTAGAAAAAAAACACTAACCAGATTGAACAAATTAAACCATTTAAACTCTGCTATGTGGGTTGAGTGAAGAATTATGACGCCTAATGATGAAAGCCGAAATTCTTCGAAAGTCACGAAGCTGATGATCCTTCTAACAGTCAGGCAACAATTTTTGTAGGCACATGGAATGTCCGAACAAGGTGGGAGACTGAAAGGACCAGTCAAATAGCGACGGAAATGAGGAGATACAACTTGGAAGTAGTCGGAATCAGTGAAGCCCATTGGACACAACCCGGGAGAGATGCTGCTGTATTCCGGTCACGAAGAGGAAAATGCTCCACACACTCAGTGAGTTGCTCTGATGCAGTCTGAAGATCCATGACATGGATGGGAATCTCATGGATCCATGATCGTCAAAGCACCCTTCAAAAAAAGAAGGGAATCACAACCGATGTTATCCAATGACAGCAAACACCATCATAAAGAAATGGATCTCTATAGAAACACTAGACAAGACCAAAGAAAGGAAGAACAAGAAGACAGCAATCAAAAACAGCCGAACACGAGCAGAGAAAGTTCAAGCACAAGCCAAGTACACAGAAGCAAACAAGCAAGTGAAAAAAGAGCATTAGAACGTGGAAGAACTAGCAACAACGGCGAAAAAACCTGCAAGAGAAGGAAATATGAAACAGCTATATGACACAATGAAGGAACTAGTAAGAAAATATAGTAAGCCAGAAAGACCAGTGAAAGACAAAGAAAGCAGGCCAATCACCGAGATTCAAGGACAGAGGGACAGATATGTAGACCACTTAGAAAAACTCTTGAAAGGGCCAGCTTCACTGAATCCACCAGACATCGAAGCAGCATACACAGACCTTCCTATAGATGTCACTCCACCAACGATCGAAAAGATCAGGATTGTCATCAGACAAATCAAGAGCGGGAAAGTTGCAGGACCTGACAATATACAAGCCGAAGCACTGTAGTCGGATATAGAAGCAACTGCAAACATGCTCCACATCTTATCCAGGAACAGTTGGGAAGAAGAACAAGTTCCGATGGACTGGGAAGAAAGAAACCTCATCAAGATACCAAGTTCACGAGTTACACGAGCATGCGGCGGAACCGCTCTCACCGACGTATTGGAGAACCCGCCAGTTGCAACCAGATTAATATTAGTGACGTCAAATATGCCAAACTGGCATACGCCACACTGAAGTTCAATATACCTAAGCTGATTTTCTCCGTAATACCACCATCAACACTGATATAACTATTAAGAGGTACGAGCTTTTGACAACTTTTAGCAGCTCACCACAAAAAGTGAGAACAGATACAGCTTACCGCCAGTTGTGTACAAGAACCATACATTTGAAAGTTGGTAAAGTACATATCGTACCTGCAAACATTAATTGTCAATTGATTGAGTGTGACACATACACCTTGTGTGTTATTCCACAGGAAGACAATTTTTTCAGTGTACTCAAAGTCAGAAAATCTTTCTCCAGATAACAGACTTACACTATTACGATATGCTTCAGAGATGTTTACATAATCTGACTGACGATATAGTTGAAATGGAATGGTGACAAGTAAAACAATTTGTCACAATAAAATACTAAAGAACTGGCCAGGAATTCAGAATGTATATATATATATATGCAATAAAACAAAGCTTATATATGTCAGACCATCATCGATACAAGACCTGGCAAGCGTACGCAAGTTTATTTATCTATTGTGACCTTTTGTTTACTTAAAAGCACTGATCTTTTTTATGAATACAGAATTAAACAACTATTTAAAAAAAACACTGTATACTAACCACGAAAATCACAGCTGGTGACATAAGTCATTTCACAGGAATTTGTACCAAGTAGACGAATAATATATGCATTCATATGGGTTAATGCTCGGATACACTGTTTTCGAACAGGAATTCCCTTGAAAATCAATATGAACGACAGAATATAATAATTTAGTTCATTAAAAAAAAGAAATATAAATGATAATAATTAAGATTATTTCTAGAAACTTTAGGCTTATCAGTCTACCGAATTTCATAGTTACTCATTAATGGTTAGCGATTATGAGTGTGGAAGATATTGAAATGTAACATCTAATGTGAAACAATTCACATTAGTGACGGAAAATGGCTAGATTATTAAAGATTAACAATAATAACTATACATATAGATACATGAACAAATGTGAGGTCATTTGAAAATGGAATTTAAAAACAGGAGGGGGGGTATTACGCAGTAATTAAACGAAGTCCGGAAACAGAATAGGACAGATCGTATGATTGTAGTTATGAAGGAATTTTATAAAGTAGATATGAAGAATTTAGAGAAATGAGATGGTAATCGTCTAAAAGTTAGAAATTCATGGGTTACCCAATAATTGAACAAGATTTGAAGAGTTTACGTAAGTTAAGCAAATTGAGTGAATGAATGATTTTGGAGTACAGAAAATAAGCAGTAGTTTGGCGAAGACCACATAACAAATTTCTAATGCTTTGGCGAAACAAAGAGACGCTGTGTGTCTTTTGTCTGTACTGGCCGCCACAGCCAGTACAAGTTAACAGCCACACAAAATGATTTGTTTTTATTACTTAGATTTCAGTATCCAATGTTTGAAAACATAATTCATTGCCCTATCATGCAAGCAGTAAGCTTCAGAAATCTCCATAGCACAATACAAGCAATCTGCAAAAACCTGGCTTTAATGAGAATCTTTTAGCACGGGGAGAACTATTATGCAGTATGCTTTCTACGTGATATACATTCTATCAGGATACTTGATACTACTTTTTAGGCTTGAAGATTCAGTGTTCTATAACTATAGAGATTTGATACAGATATGTCCACTTTTGTAGATGAACAAACTTTTCCGAAACAAGATTTTTTTTAAATGTTGATAAAGTAAAGTTGAAATACAATGGAATACGAGGGTGTTAAGGTTGACTTTCAATAAATTCTAATAACAGGAAGGGGAAATCATTGAGGACTCCAATAATTATCGTCATAATTAGAAATTACTACTACCAAATGGTCTTTAAATTCACATAATAGTTTAATTGGTATCAATACGAAAACAGTCAACTCTAGCTTCCTGGCTCTTAATATCTTCCCTGCATGATAAAGTTGTAAGAAGTTATTATTTATGCCAATATAGATGTGTCAATTCCCTGATTAAAATCAACTGTCTATTCAAGTATGTGGATTATTAAGTAGAATTACATCTACGTGGTCACTTTAAGATTACAAAACGTTGAAAATTCTCAAACACATTGCTTATTGAGAAAGAAATTAGATGACTTCGCAGGGTATTGGGGTGAATTAGTTATAAGTTAAAGCCTCAGATGGCTCAGAGTTCATCAGCATTAAAGACAAACAAAACAGGTAGACGGAGAGTCCTTTTTCATCAACTTTGATTTACTGAAAACATTCAGTGTTTATTTTTAACTTCGAGTGAATAAGTACTTTACGCTTCCTAAATTCTTACTGAGCACGTTTCACGAGACACTAATAGGAATACGAAGTCTACAATGAGTCTTTTGGTGCTTATATACGATAGTTATGAGTTTTAAAGTTACAAGTATGATGTAGGTGAAAGTGATGGTACAACTTATGAGGCCCACAGTATACGGAAGAATCAGGAAAGTTCTTTGGTTTCATAGTATTTTATGCAAATTAACCAAAAACTTTCTCATTTAAAACTGCTTACCACTAGACTGCCTTGATTTTATAACAGTACATTCCAAGTCTACCAGCTTTTTGTAACTCCTAGATTTCTATACTCAAAGTTAACCATTATTATTTAGTTTACACAGAACTATACTTCTTTGTGAACAAACAACACATCAGATAAACCGATCAACATCTGTAACGGTTCTTTGGATTTTTTAGATGTTAATATCAGCAAATGTTCAGTTATAAATGGGACAGAGAGCGTGTTCTGAACTCCACTGTCACATTCCAAATATAGATAAAGATCAATTAGTGGTTGCGATTCACTTGCGTATTCACTAAAAAATAGTATTTCGCCTAATCTGATTCATAGTAATACTTTAAAACGAGATAATGAGTTAAACGAATAAAGACAGGATGATGATGAGAAAGTAAGTGTATTGGATACAAAAAGTCACAAAAGAACATACCTTATGAAATATAGAGTGGCAGGCGATTACATAATACGAGTCAAACCTTTCCCATGTTCTCTGAAGAACGAAATCCCTGTTTTTCAATCCTGGAGGCGAACGAACTAAAAACAGATCAATGAAAAGCATTCCACATACGAGAGTAATATCCTATGTCACTTTGAGGGTGTACTTGACACAGTTCGTAACTTTCAATCATTGACTTGTCCCACTCCTTTCGATAATCGGAATCCATGATACAGTCAAATAACTCGGATCCTGAAACTCCCTTGAAAAGGGCAGTTGCCTTGAAAGTCTTGATTTGATCATTTTTCGACCCTTTTGACCAAACTTTAACATCATTTTTTGAATATTCCTGAGTCCATGGTGGTCCGCCAAGATATTCTTCTATTACTTTCAATAAGAAAGTTGTGTCAGAAGCTATCCTCCCAACCTCAGGGAGAGACATTACTGTGGTGAACAAATATACCACAGCAACGAGCTTCAAACTGGCTCTATTGACATACTCTGAATTTCGTGATGCACTAAAACGACTAACAGTTGATTTAAACTGAATGACTGCAATTGCTTTGTTCTTAGCTTACGAAGGCAGTGTTTCCATAAATTTTTGTACATATGGGCTAAACTAGTGTAATGCTAGCTTCGTCTTGATAAATAGAAGATCAGTATAAAATTTCTCTCTTCAGCAAATTTTACTTTTTTATTGCCTTATTACGTATCAAGACTACTGTTTTCACTTTGGTTGTGTTTTCATCCTCTTGAAACATCGTTTATGCCTCCAATGTAGTTTACGGTCTGTACTTTTGAGTACTTTATTTCTACTGTATTTGTTAGCAGTTTAGGTCCTAACGATTTACAGTTTTCCAATTTTTTGGTCATAAATTACTTTTGTCTCTGGTTATAATCGTATCTTCTTTCCCTTTGAAAACCTCTGTTTGATGGCTGGACAGTGCGAGAAAAGCAAATGACAACTCCCGGGATGTCGATACCCCGTTGACAGTGGTATGTAGTACGACGTGCGAAAGGACGTTACTGTAAGTTTGCACGAAACTAACACCTGTGGCTTTCAAATGGTTGGATAAAAAGGGTTTCGTGTGGTTTGCTAAGCAGTGTTGCACTCACGAGGACATCTTGCTATTCACTGCCATTCCAATGGTAAATTGTATTTGCAATAGCTTTTCAGGATACACCCACAAGCTTTGACTCGTTTCCTGTGTTTTTCCGCTGGCCTTTTCGTACCACTGCAACATTTAATCTCTTAGCGAGCTGGAATTTTGCAAACCATGTGGTCCTCTGAATGTCATGTAGGCCCAGTGAAATGTCACTAATCCCTAGCCAAATCATCCGGCAGTTGGGTCATTGAATATCGAACAGATCGTTGATCCTAGTGAAGGTCAAGGACAACCAACGCGCATCAGTTAATCGTATGCCATGGACTCGGCCATGCGGCAGTGGTCTTACTTTCGCTTGTATCTACTTTAACCAATATATTTCTGTAGTAACGTCTTCTGTGATGTACAGTCTTCAAAGCATCTATGGTACCTTGATACGTGAATGGGGTAGTCCACGTAAGGTGCTGACCACGGGGTGTGACTTCGACGTTAGCTAGTTTGTCTTGCCAATCACGTCTAACTCGAGTAGTCCTACAATCATTCGACATAGATCATCCACGTTGGTGATCTACAGTCAGTCTCGTTTTCCTGTGTTTTTCTACTGCTAAGGTCAATATATTCTTTCTTTCATGCTTTCGTGCTTAATGAGATAGGATGTTAACCCTTCTTGATTTGCGTAAATGTTTGAAGATATCACATCAGCATAAGCGTTTTTTTCTGTTAAACTCAATGTTGAGGTCACCTGGGATTTTCTAACGGTTCGCTTATTCCTTTCTAAGAGTTATTTGTCGTTATCAAGAACTATGAAAGAAAATGATCTCAGGTTTGCTACTCTCTTTAGTATTATTGATAACCCTCTTCCATCGACGTGTCAAACTGTTCTTTGGTATTTTCATTATCCCCGCCCCTCGATTAAATTATTAATGACGTAAGAATACCATTCAAAACTCCCATTTCTTAATGTCTTACTTGTTAGAAAATTGTTGTAACGCGAGCGTGAGACTGCAGGGTTTGATAAGCAGCGTATTTATCGATCGCCTCTGTGACAGTGGACACGGAAACATGTATGGACGACCTTGTGCCCTGATTGGTCCCGCTTCGCAGTCTGTCCCAGCCAGTTGAGTGAAGAACGCAAGTCACAGCCTCTGAGTTATGAATCGTTGTATTTCAAACATACTCTATTTATATACCAAGCAAACAACCCACATCGTACCATAAAATAGGAAACAACATTTGTACAATATTTAACAAGTGAAATAAACATCGACCAATAAGAAATGTACATTTAAGGTTCAAGGACACCATTGAACTTAACATGGTAATTATTGGTCTCTTTTTCCGACTATCCCAACAAAAATGATGGATCAATACAAAAATCTATACTTCAAAAGTCTACTTGAAATGGATAATTCACAAGCTGTACCTCTGAGTTCCAACAGCTAGAAAACCAAACTTCATTTATTTTCTGTGCTTATGTTATTATAAAATGTACTTATTGGATCTCTGAGGGGACGCCTTTTCCATTTATAAATCCATATTCCTAGAAAATGGATACTCTTATGCATTCAAAGAGAAGAAATATGAAGGAAAAAATGACTTCCCCATTGGTCAAAGGGTGTTACTGTTAGAGAACATTTATTTTGTGTGAGTCGATTTACTAAAAAAGTTTGAAGATCGATTATAAATAAATTTAACTTGACAAACTCCACATAATGTACTATGGTTTTGGGAACGGGCCTATGAACTTACTTCAAAATACCAATGAAGTAAGTGTTAGTAGTTGCGTGTATAGGAAAACTTGAGAGATCTGAATACAATAACAAATACATGTAATGATGCAGTGCGATTATTACAATTATTACAATTATTACAGAGAAAATGTCCATGTTGGGGAACACCACAAGTTGAGTTCACCAAAACAACTCAAAGTTCTTACAACTTCCTGGCATCATGTCGTAAAAGAAAATATAAACTCCACAGTGTTTTGGGAAGAGCGCAACAATAAGGCTGATTATTGAAGGCTTACTTAAAATAATTTCAACACTTGCATTATAAGGTTAAGTGCTTCGACCAACAGAACAGAGGCAAAATACGACTCACACTTGAGTATACTAAGCGCATAAGAACTGAAGGACAGCGTACGATTAACGTGAAAGACGACCTATATTCTCCATCAATGTATATAAATAACAGATCTTGAATACTAATATAATTATATGTGTGGACCACCAACGTAGGTGATATATGTGGAATCATTGGGGGTCTACTAAAGTTAGACGGGAATGGTGCAATGAACTGGCTAACTTCGAAGTCACACCTCGCGGTCAGAACCTAACGTGATTACCTCTTCATCGCATCAATGTACTACGGCTGCTTTGAAGACCGTATAACACAAAGAACGTTATTAAGGAAACATATTAGTAAGGACGGGCACAGAGATGGTGTGACCACCACTGCATGTATCAGTCTATGGCATACGATTAACTGGTGTGCGTTGTTTGTCCTTGATCTTGACGGGGATCGATGAACTGTTCGACATTCAGTGACCCAATTGCCAGATGACTTGTTTAGGGCTCAGTGACATTCTACTGGCCCTACATACGTATGACACCACAAGACTGAAGATGCAGTATTTTATTAAAGCTGTAAAAGTAGCATATTGTTGTTTACTCATACTATTCATTTTTATACATCTCCATGTAACAGGCGATTTGGTGAGACTATACTTTATGGAAAACATTTGAGAAGCGCAAGAATGACCTTCGAATACCCACATCCTTACTAGAAATAAATGAGGGTGAGGGATTCTCATTGCGATTTACATTTGAACGTTAGGGTTAGGAGTTAGATTTAATGTTTTCATCATGAACTGACACCAAATTTAATGCTGAAATGGTATTCAGCCAGATGAATGAGTGCATTTCTCGCAAAAATTCAAGATCTGGTGCATATCAACAACTCAACTAAACAGATGAACTCTTACTAGTTTATTTTACAATAGGAAGAGATTACAGAATTAAAGAAAGAAGCCACCATCGAAATGGTTGGTTCATGGGGCCCTGTAAATCTATTCGTGTTAGCCGTCCATGGCCTAGATGATATTTAGTAAAGTGTCCAACATTTAATAACCTGACATACTTGTATTTCGTGAATTATGTTCAGTGATGAGCTGGAGGTTGGATTTTCTTCGTGTGCTACATATTACAAAATCAATGATGTAACTCACTCTTTTACACCATTATAGGGGCCCTCGTGCACAACGAAAAATTTCGACATAACAACGTTCGGCGAGACCTTAAATTATAGACGATCCATGAACCAGTCGGCTATTTGTGAGCTCATTTGCTATTATCATAAACTTATCGATATATTTCGTTATTAAAAATGTACTGTAAAAATCTACTTTATTAGTATCAACACGGTATAGAACTAATTTTTCTTACTCAGCTATGATGGGCACAATCTCCTTATCCTAATAAAAATCATTAGAAAGTTTTGTCCTCTATTGTTGGTTTCATTATAGATGAACGATGGTGGATGACTTTGATAACGCCCAAGTGTTCTCGAACTACTTTAACAATGTATACACCATAGAAACACGCTTCCCATCAGCACATACAAATCTACCCACACATACACCGGATAGCGTGACCATTAAAGAACTCGATGTATTTGGTCTGCTAAATAAGCTTGACATAGGTAAATCCACGGGGCCCGATGGATTGCATCCTAGGCTACTGAAGGAATTATCTAACTTCGTTGCAAGTCCTTCAAGTATATGCTTTAACCTATCCGCTGCACAGAGTCGTTTGCCAAAAGATTAGAAGTACGCCACAGTAAGTCCTGTCTTCAAAACAGGTACGAAACATAAACCTGAGAATTACCGACCCGTTAGCTTAACTAATTTAGTTGTTAAAATCTTAGAAAAGTGTTGTAACGGGTGTGACTGCAGGTTTTGGTAACCAGCGTTTTATATCGATTAGCTTCAGCGACACATAAAACACGTACGGACGACCTAGAGTCCTGATTGGTCCCGCTTCCCTGTCTAGCCCAGCCAGTTGAGTCCAGAACGTAAGTCACAGCCTCTGAGTTATGAATCATTGTATTTCAGACATACTCTATTTATATACCAAACAAACAAACCACATCGTACCATAAAATAGAAAACAACATTTACACAATATTAAACAAGTGAAATAAACAACGACCAATGGGAAATGTACATTTAAGGTCCAAGGCCACCATAGACTTAACACGATAATTATTGGTATATTTTTCCGACTATCTTTACAAAATGATTATTCGGAAGGAGCTGTTTAAGTATCTCGATAAAAAC